ATCTGCAAGGGAGCAGCCAGTTGAGGAAACAAATAATATTTACACGCCCTGCCCATGGCACTGGAAATAAAACCTTCTTGCCAGTAAGAACTGCAGCCCAACCCTCCTGGCCCCACCTGCTCCTGGGGGAGGGATCGCTCTATAAAAGGCTCCAGGCAGCGAACAGAGATGCACAGCAATTTGGGCTCTCCAGGGAATCCTCCTGCTCTGGCTGTGACCATGGGAAAGCGAGTGGCTGTCGTGCTGGCTGGCTGTGGGGTGTACGATGGGAGCGAGATCCACGAGTCTTCGGCCGTGCTGGTGCATCTCAGCAGGGAGGGGGCACAGGTAAGAGGCACCCTGGCAGGCTCCTGCCCCATCTCTGGCCCCTTTTGCCCTGCTCTGCTTTTCAGTCTCTCTCTCTTGCACAAGGTACATGTCTCTACGGGGCTTTGCAACTTGTCAGACAAATCACAAGGTCCCCATTGCTGCTAGGGGAACTGCAAAGCGTAAATGACCGAGGCAAAGCAAACGCCACAGCGTAGGAGCTGCTACAGCGAGCGTGGAGAACTCCCCGGTCTCTGCTTTGCTCTGGCAGCTTTGCTGGGTGAGAGGATTGGCTTGGTGCTCTGTGCTGAGCGCATCCAAACTCTGACAAACTTTCCTAAATGCATTCTCTATTCTTTTTGGCTTGCACTTCCTCTTCTCTGCTTTGGTGTTTCTGTTTAAAAAGAAGACTACTTTTGGTTTTGGCTGCTTGAAATTCACCTTTTTAAATTCCCGAAGATTAGAACTGAAAATAGAGAAGTTCTTATGAGTTGAACTTGAACAGGGGTAAAAAAGGCAACCCTCAAGCAGCCACTCAAATATGCCATCAGTCACGACAGCCACTCTGCGAGACAGGGGGAGGAGGGAGAGGAGCCCTACCTAACATCACCCTCTGCTCTGAGCCACCCACAAATCTGGGTCAGAACCGTTCTCCTGGGAATCACAATATGAAACACGAAGGCGCAGTGGTGACGTAGACGTGCTGCAGAGCCAGCCCACCCACCTCCAAAGCCTTCAACGTGTGTATCCTCTGTCTGGCTTAAAGCTGAGATCTGGCCAAACCTTTTCTCTGCTGTCTATAATTTTGCCTCTTCTTCCTCCCTCCCGGAGCTGCTGCAGTCGCTTCCCCCCTGCCATACCCTCAGCCGGCAGCTCGGAGCACGGTCCTGCACGCATCCCTTGATCAGCAAGGGCCTCTAGTGGAGGAAACTCAGGCGTTATTGCAGCCCCTTCCTGTTATTTTTTAGTCATGCTTGCTTAAGGAAACCAAGAATAGCACAGCACAGCACAGCACAGCATAGCACAGCACAGCATAGACTATTTCAGCTGGAAAGGGTCTACAAGCATCACCTAGCCCAACTGCCTGAGCAATTCAGGGCTGACCAGAAGTTAAAGCATATTATTCAGGTCACTGTCCAAACGCCTTGTTTAAGATAGGCTTGGGGCATCAACCACCTCTCCAGCAAGCCTGTTCCAGTGTTTGACCACCATCTCGGTATAGAAATGTTTCCTCGGGTCCAGTTTAAACCTTCCCTGGCGCAGCTTTGAGCCATTCCCATGCATCCTATCCCTAAGTCCCAGGGAGACGAGATCAGCACCTCCCTCTCCACGTCCCCTCCTCAGGAAGCTGCAGCGAGCAATGAGGTCACCCCTCAACCTCCTTTTTCTTCACAATAGACAAGCCCAAAGTCTGTAGCCGCTCCTCCTTGCCCATGCTAGCAATGGCTCTTGGGAGACCTCTCTTCCCTAGGAAGGAAAGGAGTCGCTGCTCCCCCTCCAGCACTTCAGGCCCCAAGCCAAGCAGTTCCGGCTCGCTTCTTCGCTTTCACCTGACAACTCCCTCACTCCTTTAAGGTCAGGGTGAATGTTCCTGCGCAGAAGCTACAAAAGACCTTTCTTTCTTTCTCCTCCCCATGACAATAACCTTCCCCATGCCAGTATGAGGCATCAGGTGAGCCTGAAGGTCACTGCATCCACCAGCAAAGTTCTTTCCTAACAAAGTAACTCAAGCATTTTCATTCACTCCCTCTGACCCTTAACATGCTTAAGATACACGACTGAAGGATAACAGACCTCTCCCCTCCCTCCGCAGGCAGAGGTTTATGCTCCCGATGTTGACCAGATGCATGTAGTGGACCACGTGAAAGGACAGCCAACTCAGGAGAAGCGCAACGTGCTAGTTGAAAGTGCCAGAATAGCCAGAGGCAACATCAAGGATCTAGCTAAGCTGGATGTCAAGGGGCTGGATGCCCTCATCATACCAGGTAGGACGGCACGCAGGGTCTGCATGCCCAGAGTCTTGGGAACAGCTTAGATATGCCATAAGCCTGGAATGACACGGGAGTCACGGGCCGGAGAGGAACTGGGCAGAGCCACTGGTGAAGAAAACAGGCTGGAAGCAGGGTCTGGAAGGACAGACATCTTCCTTCTGTGCTGGCACTGGCATGCGAGCTTGGAGCTGTATTAAAGGAGAACATGGCAACGCAGCAGCTTACCCCAAGAGGAGAGGGCAGACAACTGCCAATTGAATTATCCTCTGTACCATCTACTGAGCTCTTTTTTACTGGGTGTAAGACTATCCCCTCCCTCACCAACGTGCCTACCTCCTTATCAGCAGAAGCTGGGACAGAGAGGGGGTGACTCAAAAGCGGAAAGCTTGGTCAGTCTGGTAATTCATCCTCAGCGAAAGTATGACCACGTGATGGCAGTGGGGATGGATTAGGCCTGGAGCAAGGATTAAGAGGCAGGTGAAAACTTGTCAGCGTGTTCCACCATAATTCAGCAAAGAGCTCATGGGTGAAAACCAGTACCCAACAGGGCACCGATAGCTATCCGCTTCAGCTTTGTATGGAAGCAAGAAAGGTGCTGTGATGTCTCATCTCCTGGCAGTCAGCTCACAAAGCTTCAGCTTGTCTGGTTTTAGTACTTTTATCAACACTGGACAAATGCTGCCACCCACCAAATCCATTTTAGCATCCACCAAATTCATTTTAGCATTCTACAAAGTAATACCTGAAAAAAATCCTGCCCTGGAGTACCAATCTCCTGGTCTAATCTGTTTCTCTTTTCTCAGGTGGCTTTGGAGTGGCTAAAAACCTGAGCACTTGGGCCACCCAGGGCAAGAACTGCATCATCTCCAAAGAGGTGGAGGACGTCCTGAAGGCTTTCCACGCTGCCAAAAAGCCCATTGGCCTCTGCTGCATTTCCCCAGTGCTGGCAGCCAAAATCTTCCCAGGCTGCGAGCTGACCGTGGGTCATGACACAGAGTGTGAGAAGTAAGTAACCTTGGAGGGCTGATACGAAATCACACCATGAACATCACAGCACCAGCAATGCCTCCCCAACACACGCAGCACCCTGTTTCAACTCTCCTGCCTGGGTATCTGAAGTCTCGTGATGAGCTGAACGTTCTCTCTCAGAATGAATGATCCACATCATGCATTTATTAAACTAACCTTGGCTGATAAATAATCAGAGTTTGTGATGTTAAAATTAGAAATCTGATCTTACTTTTTACAGTTTGCTGTACTGGGGTTACATTACTATACAGGGACACAGACACCACAAGCACCACAAAGGAATAAATTAGAGTCAGGAAGATGTTCAGATTTCTGGAAAGACTTTCTTCTTGAGCAGGCCTTCTGTAGGGACCACTCCTCTCTCTGCAATCCAGACTTCTCACTCTAGGCTTTCGTCAAATCGCTCTGTGTAATGACAGCTTCCCCACACTGGGTTTATTCTCTTTTCTTCTTGCAGATGGCCTTACGCAAAGACTGCTGAGACCATGAAGGAGCTTGGCTGCAAGCACGTGAACAAACACGTCACTGAAATTCACGTGGATGTGAAGAACAAGCTGGTGACCACCAGCGCTTTCATGTGCAATGCCCCCATCCATGAGATCTACGATGGCATTGGAAAAATGGTCAATGAAGTGGTCAGACTTGCCTGAATGCCACAAAGCCACAGAACCCATCTCCTCTGGCGTGCAGGCACTGAGCCTTGGGTAACGTCCTTCCCGTTCTACACCCACATGCCCACAGACAAGCTGCTACCTACACGGAGTTCTTCCCCCCCACCAGTCCACTGGTGGCTGCTGAGGAGGGAGAACTCCAGAGCAATGGAAGCGTTGCCATGTTCTGCCAAGGAGACAGCACTTTCTGACAGCAACCTGGCAGCCACTGGAGCGTGGGCACACATCGAGCTGGCGTGCAGAAGCCAGGTTTCCACAGGGCTCAAACACAGCCGCTGTCTTTTGTTTTGAGTGGCCGAGGAGCTGCCTGGGTCCTGTCAGCCATGACCGGGCTGACCTGGCACGTGCACATCATGTGTCGACAGGAATCGGTCCCTTTCTGAGATTGCTTACGCAGTCATCCTTGCTAGTACTTCAAAGCTCCCCACATACCTCCACCTCACAGAACAGAGGAATTGGTGGCAAAAGGAAAGAACACGTTTCTGCTGCTGAATAAAATTTGACACTTTTTACATGGACTGAATTCTGCTTTCATTATTTGCTTTTTACTCTGGGTCAGGACATGCTTTTAGTGCTACTCATTGGCCAATGAGCGGGAAAAACGGTACAAGAAGAAGTCACCAGCAACAAACCCCAAAATGATCCGATCGCTACAGTTTTTATTTTACTTCAAAAGTGAGCCAGGCCCACGCTGGCTCTTCCTGCCCTCACCCACAGGCAATGCATACACCAGCCTGCAGTTAGGTGTGGGCTTTGACTGAACTAGGGGAAAAGTGGGGATTTTCACTGTCCTTTTAGCGTGGGTCCCATGCAATCACACCTTGGCAACTATGATCATGTTGACGCCACACCAGCTACGCCCCAGTCACCTCCCAGGCATCTCACAAAGCCCTGCAACGCAATCGGAGGGATGGGAGAGGCAGAACCAGGCAAGCTGGTGCTCTCTGTGCACCGCCTGCGTCTGCATGCAGCCAGGCATTAGAGGATACAGAAGTTTTTGAGCCACAAGAGTCTCAGACAGGCGATGAGGAACTAGGGAACATGACACAAAGAGCTGGTATCAAACAGCAGCGCTTTGGACACTGCAGGGGCTCGCGTGGCTGTTGCCTGCAGGAGGTGCTGACAGTGTCAGGGGGTATTGAGGAATGATTTTGCTACAGAGGGTGAATTGTTCATCTGATGCAGGGCATTTCCTCACCGCTGTCTTGAAGATAAATAGCCCTGTGGCTAAAGACAGAACTGAAATTTCATGCGGAAAGGTTTAAGGAAGGGAAGCAGGGGTTCCTAGGTGCTGTGCATGCTTACCGCACTCGGGGATGGGAAGGAGATCTCTGCCCAGATGCAGCTGTCTCTATGCGAACGAGCCATCCTGACCCCTCTGTAGTCCACGGAAAGAGGCAAGAGGGGTAAGGACAACTAACCCAAAGTTATATCTCCAAAATAGCTCAGATGAAACTCCTGGAAACACTCCTCTCAGGGAACCAGTGACCCAATCTACTGCTTTTGTAAAGTTAGGCATGAGGAATTTCACTCTTTGTGACCAGCTGGGCTTGCATACCGTTTTCTGAGTGAGTCATCACCTTCAGAAATGACGTAAAGGTTAGCTGCCCTGACGATTCATCACTGACTTCAGAGACGATTCTCTTCATCCCCTCTTGCCCCGATTCACAGCCCAGAGCCCTTACGGTTATCTGCCAAAAGCGAAAATGGGGCGATGTCTTGGTGTACATATCAAATAGAAACAAAGAGGGAAGGATGCCTGAAACAAGCAGATACATGAAGGCAGTGAAAAAACCTCAACTTTCCACCAACAGCTTTTCATCCACCATTTTGTCTCAAGAGAGCATGGTTCCGTAGCTGCCTAACATCAGTAGTACAAGGCCATGAAAAACAGCAGCAAAGAGCTGTCAGCAAGGGCCAGGGAGGAAGGCTTTGGTCCCTCCGAGGGGCACCTGGCCAGTAAGTTGGCACAAACCTTACACTGCTGACGGCTGCATAACAAGCGGAGTCCAGGTAGCAAAGTCCGTTAGCACAGCAAGCGGTCCACAGGCAACAGGTGGCAAACACCAGTTGCTCTGTTGCTGCTTATCAGGTGCTTGTAAATGATTAGCCCCATTTCCAACATTTATGCTTACTGTCAGTCATTTGTGTTTGATGACAGTAACTCAAGTTCCAAGTGCAACTGTGGCCAACGAAGCGACTGTGTCACTTCTACAGCCGGACGGGATCCAGGCCTCCGATCCGGGTTACTCAGACTGAGCAAACACACCCTGCAAAGCAGCAGCCTGAGCACCCATCAGCTGCACAAGCTTGCACCATGTTTGTAAAGCCTGTTAGAGGACAGGGTCTGTTAGAGAATTTTACCTGCAAAATGTCATTCCTCCTCAACTTGTTGAGGACAGGGGTCACTGTGAAGGAAGATAGGGTAGAGGACTCCTCAGATTTACTCCGCAGCGTCACAGCGAAAGGGGCTAAACCCGCTACGGATCTGGGCTGGGTTCGGTCAGCAGCAGAGTGGCGACGAGCTCTACGTGCTGGTATGAACTCCCACGGCAGGCAGGGTAGTACAACAGCAATTCTGCCGGAACATGGCTTTCCACCCGCGAAGCGAGTTATGAGGGACACGCTGCACGCCCGTGCCCTCTTTCAGGCAGCCTAAGCAAAGTCCCCGCAGCACGGGTGGCGTTACCATGATGTGCTGATGAAAAGGTGACAGAGGAGATTCGCAACCAGGCTGGGAAAGCAGCAGGCCTCTGGATGAGAGCGGCAGGGGGAACCCCCCCCCGCTCCTCAGCGCTCACCATCACCAGACGGGCGCGCTCCGCGGCGATGCCCTCAGCGCTCCAATCGCAGCTGTCCTGCCCGGTCCCTGAGGTCTGGTGACAAGCTGGCCGTTACTGCCCACAACCGACGATCCACGTCATGCATTGATTTAATTAACCTCGGCTGATTGATAAGTCAATCAGAGTGCGTGATGTTAAAGTGAGAAATGCGATCTTCCTTGGCGGCCTCTTGTGCCCCCATTACAGCAAACCATGCAAGCCCCGCAAGGGAATCAGCGGGATTTTGAGCGAGGGAGCGGTGGGGGTTCTTGGGAAGGAGGAACCCGCGAGGAGAGTGGGGAACCCGTGCGATCAGTGCGACAAACACAACGAGCAGCAAGCCACGGGAGTGCCTTTCCTTCCCATGCAAGGTAACAGCCATCCCTCGTTCCGCTCTGAGCTGGGACAGACGGATGGATGGACAGACAGACGTCCCGCAGAGACAGCCCCTGCTGCGACCACGGCCTCCAGAGCGAAGCACTTAGTGACCAAGGCCCCACAGAAGACCCAACAGTCCAAACGTAAAAGCTGAAACTCTTCAGGTACCTGCAAAAATTGGTTTATTATTTATCAGCAGACCAGAGGGCATCGTGCACTGTACTGGCAGATGTGTTTGCATTTTTCTATACTTCTTTCCACAACTCTGACGGCTCAAAATAAGTCACTTTATTTTAAATGCAATCTTATATTTGCAGCCACTGAATATTCCTGCAAACATACAGAGCTTTCAGCAGCAGCACTGGCAACTCTCCTCTCTTCTTTAAACGTGTGAACTCAATGGCAGTCAGTTAAGTTGCAGCAGTCTATCTACTCAAGTTCTTTGCAGTTTAAAGAACATACCAAAAAAGAGGGAGGGGACAATCCCCATAAGACTGAGTATAAAAAGCTGATCCCTGCAAATATGTCATATAAAGAGTTTACTGTAGCTGTGTCCAAACCGAGACATGAGACCAAAAACGCCAACTGTGGGGAAACAGAGATTCACGCTACCTGGTTTTGAGTCCCCTCTTTACCAAACCACCATCATTTGACACACGGTTTTCAGTCCGAGAGGATCTGAACACTGTCACTGGAAAATGGGCTTTGGAAACAAGGAGTGTAAACATCTTCCGAGCACAAACTAGCAACCATGCTGCTACACGTAAACACGTTCGCACTTGGTAACTGTTCACAAACACAAGTTTAAGATCATCCACTTGAAAAAAGTACTGACCTATATTTTGTGCTGTCTCAGAAGAAATCAAAGACTGTAAAAAAGTGAGGCACCTACCAAACGTATATATACAAGTGCAAAAATAAATACAGTTCTGTTTCAGTAAAGGCTGGTCTTCTTCATGATCCGCAAGAATTCTTGCTCATTCACTTCCCCATCCCCATCTCTGTCTGCTTCATCAATCATTTCCTGAAAGAAATTTGTATTCAGAAATTAGATGCAGATGAGACTAGGATTAGAATTACTAGGTTAGTTCAGAATTAGAACCACTTTTTAGTAAATGGTGTTAGAGGGGACAGCGTTAGCTCAAGGGCAGACCTACTATGCTACAAAATATTTACTAAACTCAACACTAGCAGGTTTTTATTTATATATTTAGACAAAAATCGGTATAGAAAGTGTTGTATTGTAGGAACTCTCCTGGAAGAAACAAAGCGCTTGGAGCAGAGCTGTTCCTGTTACACCACCGTAACTCCATAAAACTGCAATTCTACTGACGCAGTTTTGACAGCCGTGGATGCTTAGCCCATCTTCGACCTCAGATTCCACTTCCCTCTCACGAATGGACACAAGCTCTTCCACTTCTGCCAGGAGAGAGGGAGCAGACTTCCCTAACCCTTCAAGTGTGAAGATCCCACAGGACACTGGAGGACAGCACCTGACACTGGGAGGCTGCTGCCTCTACCTCAAACCTGACCCCGTGGGGGTTTCCTCCCCACCCCGAGACAGAGATGCCCACTCGTCACCCTCGCTGCAAGCTCCAGTGTTCAGCAGACCTCTCACAGAGATGGCTCAGCTCTCCAGACAGAAGGAGAACCAGGTTTTGACTATTTACACAGGTTTTAAACGAATGTAAGTACAAAACGAAGTAATACACGAACATTCTGTGACAGCCTTCCTCCTCGACAGGCACAGCGTAACCTGGACTTTTCTCTGTTCGCTGCACACGAAGGCAGACCGGGGGTGTTTGCGTGTGACATGGTTTCATAACCAGGTACAAACCTGCAGCTCTTCATCTGTGAGATTCTCTCCCAGTTCTCTGGCGACGCGTTTGAGGTTTTTGAAAGAGATTTTGCCAGTTTCATCGTCATCAAAGAGTTTGAAAGCTTTGAGAATCTCCTCTTTGGAATCTTTTTCAGCCTTAAAGAAGTAAGCATAAGTTTAAGGGTAAAAAGTAGTGGTTATGTTGTAGATAACACTCAAAATAAAGGAATTAAGAAGAATGAGAAACTCTTTCATGAGCAAATTTAAAGAAGCCCAGCCAGCA